GTGCCCGGGTGCAAACTACATAGCGAACCAACCTCGGTCTTGTGATCTAATCTTCTACTTAAACCCTGGTCCATCCCTTTTGTCCCTCCCCTTCCCCTTGTCTGGGATCTCGTCTGGGATGAATGGCATAGTCCTTCTAAAGTAGCGTCCATTGCTGCAACCAGATCACGGTCTGAATCGATTTGTTCATGCAACCGGTCTTTCTCCCTCCTCAAGGTGGCCAAAACATACCGATAATGGCTCGTTGTCGCTATGCTGTCGGGCAGGGATCTGAGCGCCTCCTGGTGAATTTCGCTATGACGAACCAGGTCCATACGATCCATCTCGGTAAACTCATCTCCCCTCATCAACAATTTATCAAAGGCGGCCTGCAAATTCCTAATCGAAGGGTCGGATGAAGCCTCGGGGTCCATAGCTCTTTCCCACACTTTGCCAATTGCCTGAACGACCTCGGCTACCACGCCCGTGCGATCACCAATGCTGTCATCAGACACAACCTTGATATTGTACTTGCGACATAAACCCCTTGCACGTGGGGAGTTTGGATCCAAGTCCAACAATTCGGTCGAAGGTGGTGGGCGTGGTGTTGTCCTCTCTTGAGTGTAGACGAAGACAGGAGCCAGGCCGAAAACGAAGGCATCGCCTGGCCGAGTTGGCAGAATGGCAGCTCCTCCTTGGCCCTGGAGTTGTAATTTGGCCTCTTGTGATTTCGTCAGATACTTCCGTGATCCCAGAGTACTATTGGACCTTGAGGCGCCAGGGGAAGACATGCCTGGTTTGTCAGAGGCAGGAGCTGGAGCAGACGTGCCAGGTGTTTGAAAATCAATGGAAGGCTGAACAGCCGAGGCCGGGGTAAATGAACGATGGACTTCAAAATCGAAAGGGGATCCTTTATTAGCCGAGGCTGGTGCAGGGTTGTTAGGCTTTTGGAAATTGAAAATGGATGGCTGACGAGCCGAGGACGGGGGAACAGGCGGCACATTCGTTGAAGTGTCCACTTGCTGAAAATCAAAAATCGATGCCTGACGAGCCGAGGCTGGTGGAGATCTGCCAGGCTTCTGGAAATCGAAAATCGATGGCTGATGAGCCGAGGATGGGGAAACAGGCGGCACATTCGTTGAAGTGCACACGTGCTGAAAATCGAACATTGATGCCTGATGAGCCGAGGTCAGGGCAAAAGCTGAAGTACTGACTTTCTTAAACTCGAAAATGGATTGGTGAGCCGAGGCTGGGGTGAATGGGTTGGAACTTATAGCAGGGGTAGGTTCTTTGAAATCGAAAATGGATCTGTGAGGAGCCGAGGATGGGACGTCCACTTCCATCACTAGTTCGGATTCTTGGCTCTGTCCTATTGGCCACCCAGAATTTAGGTTTGGCTAGTTTTCTGTCACCGACTGGAACTCACCACTTGGTTTAAGAGGGGGTAGAGCCTTGGCCGTTCCTAAGATATGGTTAGAACTAAACCCGAGGCCGGGTCCAGTGCCCAGCCACAATCAGAGGTGACTCCTAACGACACCGCTGCCCCAGTCCAAAGCAAAAAAAGAAAAGGGGACTCGATTGAAGCCAGGCCAAAGAAGACCAGAGTCGTGAGTGCAGAGTTCATCAACAGCAGCAGTGATGAGGAAACATTGAAGCTGAAGTCGGAGTCACTTCGACTGGTTGGTGGGGAAGCGAAGGCGGTTAAACCTAAGTCCCAGCCCCATTTCTCCTGCATGACACCCAGTGCCGGCCTCAGTCTCATCTGAAGGCCCAAGTTAGACCCCGACGCCGGTCCTCCCAAGACCGCCATGGCCGCTTTAAGGCAAGCCAAAACTGCCGAACGTCTTGCAAATCAGAATGCCGCGATTGCGAAAGGCAATTATCAGCTTGCGGATATACCCTGTGAGGCCTGCAGCAAATGCCAAGATCGAGACATTGTTCCATGCGCTATCCGTTCCCCCCCACAACAAGGATCCTGCTCCACCTGCAGTACAGGTAAGACGACCTGCACATATGCAGTAACCAAGAAAAAGGACACCAACAGTGAGGTCGAAGACGAGATCCAAAAGGGGTTGCAGGATCTTGAAACGGCCACAGTCTCTGGGGGAGATGCCCAAGTGAAGATCATGAGGAAGAAAGTGAGGTCAAAGAAGCTGCAGGTGAAGAAGGTGAAGCCGGATGTCAAAGAGAAGGGCAAGCAGGATGTCGAAATGGCCACAGTTGGGCATGATGCAGAGCATGCCATTGACGTGGACATGGAGGTTGGTCTGACAATGGGAAAGGGGAAGTCCGAGGGTGGTATCGACATAGAGATGGCCAAAGTCAAACATGAGGAAACCAAGGTCGGTGCCATTCCAAAAGCCGACAAAGACATGGGCTGGGTGACTCCCACCATAATCATTGAGCCACCCACACCACACACATCGGCGATTTTCAAGAGCACTGAGACCGAGGTTGGTACCAACACTGACAAAGGAAAGGGCCAGGAGATTGGGCCGCCAGCCAGTGAGATGGAGTGGATCGTGCCCAAGTTAGCAATGCGGCTGGGTAAAAAATTCATGAAACTCGTTATTCTTTGAGGTCTTTATTGTCCCCCACTGATTCCTGCAGGATTCCTGAGGATTCCTGAGGATTCCTGAGGATTACCAGGACTCTATATTGGCTGATGTGCCAGCCAATTTTTTGAGTCCTGTGGGGGTCCATTCCTGAGGACTGAAGACAGTCCTCAGGATTTTCGGACAGGACTAGTCCCAGGAATGATGCATTTGATGAGTCACATGACCCATGAGCATGTGCTTGGATACATCATGTGATGTGATGCATCACGTGCACATATTTGTTGATGATAGTTCTCATATGTGACACGTCACGTCACCTCTCTCTTTCCTCTCCACCCACAACCTCGCCCACCACGACCACCACGACCACCACGCAACAGACAACGACGACAACGACAACGACATCGACGGACGACGACAACGACGACTACGACAACG